AACAAATATAAACATATGAATAGCTAGTATATTCTCAATAAGTAGGCTATCGGCTAGAATAGACGACTCCAGTGAAAGGAGGCTCATAACATGCAAACACTCGACCATTAGACATGGACAGATCCATAAACCTATCAAATCCAACCTATTATCTCTAACAGTGGGGTTTGACCGCATCTATGGCAGCCATAATAAAGATAACAAATTAAACCTTCAAAGAATATGAGTCTGTTCACACTTAACGGAATCGCAAAAACATGTTACGATCGTGAAAGCGCAGGCAATCGGCAACATAGCATGCAGCCGGAGGCTATGTTTGACCATAAGCGAGACTTACTACTTGATAATTTCCAATCTGAAACGCTAACAATGGGGGTCGACAAGATCGATGGCAGCCATTATAGCAGTTCTAGACTAGATTTCATCAACTAGCAAGATTACTTAGGGTTAAACACGCCTTGACCACATGCTATCTTCGATCAAGATTGGAGCAAAACGGCTAATCTAGCCGAAACCATCGTCAAAGCGAGATATAAACAAGATAAAGCGACAAGACGATGGTTTAAAGAGATATAAAGACGATCAGTTTCCATCTTAATCGGGAAAGGGGTGATGTTGTTATAAATAGTAAGAAAATTAATAGATCGATAACTAGCAAATCTATTAAGAACAGCAAGGAAACCCTACCAATCTTAATAGATTTAACCGATAACTAATCCGCATCAAAATTTGTATGAGATCGAGCCAGACCAACGCAACCTTACAAATTTTGATAAGGATCGAAGGGTAACTTGTATCAGAGATTGTAAGAGATTCGAGCCGGACCGATGCAACCTTACAATAACTGATGATAACTAAGTTATACAAAGCTTGCAAGAGGTCAGACCTAAGCGAAGCAGCCTTACAAACAAAGTATAAGTCATGACGGATACTCACAAACAAACCAAAGGTCGGACCTAACCAATGTAGCCCTGTTTGCCCGAAGAACTCGTCGAAATCTACTCTACTCCCACTCCTAAGGGGTGGCGTAAGCCGAAAAGTAAAGGTACTTGTTTGGTTGATTGATGAGATATCTTCATTACAATAGCTTGGGTCTAATATTTTTGCCCGAGACTTGACTACGAGTCCTAGTCGAACAAGACCGGTTACAAAACTCAGAAAAGAAAAGAAAATATTCTAAATTAATATAACTTGGACTTTAATATTTTTCCTTCTATGAAGTCCGACGTGTCTTCTTGCTTCAGGTCATCGCTATTTCCGTCGCCACGACCCATTTTGGAACGATGATATCATGCCACCTAGCTGATCCCAATGGCAACTTAATTAGCCGATTCTATGAATATTTCAGCTTCATTCAATGGATTTCAAAACCCAGGGTTCCACGTATATTGGTCAAAATTTTGTGTCAACAGTACTCCCAACGCGGATAGAATCTATTATCAGAAATTCCGTGCCAACACACAGGTGGTTATGAGATGCTGGATGTTCTCCTCCTCCTCCTCGCAAGATGGACAGTGACTGGGATGTGGAAATCCTCTCCTCTCGAGTCTGTCAACCGTCCAAACCCCTATTCCTTGTTGCCAACCAAAGGAAAAGTTTGCATTTCGCTGGAGCCCATGATCTTCAAACTCAACGCCAAGGCTCGACACTAATAGAACCATTAAAAAGTCCCGATAAGAAGACTTGCATGAAAAACAAGACTCCAAAGGTGGACATCTGCATCCTGGGTTAGTATTGTCTCCTGGAGGATATCCCACAACTGAAAAAATTCAAACAAACCAATCAAAGAGAGTCCTCTGATGTCTGTTGGCCGGTCATGAGCTTGTAAAGTTTCTGCTACTGTGCGACATGTGCGGGTATCCTGCAGAACAACGGCCACCACAGTCGGTGCGATTTCTTGAAGTGAGCAGCCCATAAGCCATCGATATGACCAGAAAAGTGTGCTACTCCCATCCCTCCACCCGAGTCTCCATTCCAATGTTAAACATGGCCGTGGCATTTGGGTGCACCTGTATGTCCGAACGAGCCCAAGGTCTATTGGGATCTGTCTTTTTGAGCCACAGCCATCGGATTTGGAGGGCCCACCCATGAACTCTAAGTTAAGAATACCAAGGCCACCGTAATCATGAGGTCGCTGCACCTTATCCCAAGCGATCAGGCAAGAACCTCCATTTACTTGTTTCCGTCCCTTCCACGAGAAAGCTCTTCGTATTTTATCAATAGACCGAATAAATCACTTGGGAACCTTGACAGCGATCAACACATAGATGGGAATAGCAGATAGCACAAAACGTACCCAAGTAACTCTACCAGCCATATTCATGAGAGACGCCTTCCATGGCTTAAAATAAACTCAAGCATAAAAACTAAGGTTAAGAACAACCTATAATTTACTCAGTATAATTCCGAAACTAAAGGCTGGTGTCCTGAAAGTCTTCCGCCTCGTAGCTAACTGGTGGCACGCATGCAGCCGTGCACACAAATTTCTACGGCCGGCCTGATGCAGCATCAGCCATCAGGGGACGAAGGATCAGATGCCGTGCATGACCTGCCATCAACTAACTCTCCACTTGTTTAGGATGAGATCCGATCCAATCCAATACTGATGGACGTCACACATCTGCACGCGCGTGCGAAGAACGGCATGTCAAGGAACGCATCGTAGCTCACCTAACATGCGTGATGTTCTGAAAGCTACGTCTCATCGCCCTGCCTGTGCCAGGAAAGAAGATAAATTACCTTGATGAGTTCAGAATTTTCAGTATTTGCTTGAAAGAAAAGGGTAGCAGAACTTTACGGTTTTTCTTTCACAGTAACGTGAAAATGGAAGGTACTGCACCAAGAAACAATATTCAGTTGCCCAGGTCCTTGACTCAGGTCTCACTGATTCAAGACTTTTTGTACCTCGGCTATCGGCGCAAGCTTCTGCAGAACTCTGCCAATTGCAGACAATTGTCAGTCCGGTGGTGCTCAGCAGTGCAAGGGATAATCGCCGTGGTCCGTTCTGCCTTCCCCAAGGCAAACTAGACTCAGGGAGTCTCTATCGCCTGCTGCCGTCCAAGGACGCACCTCCTCATCCCGCTGCCAAATTCATCTGGGAAACCCGTGCACCCCCACGGGTGCAGTTCTTCATTTGGCTAATGGTTCATGGCAAAGTTCAGCGCCGAACAAACCTATTCCGTAAGACGATTGTTGATTCACCTATATGCGAAGTCTGTAGGCTCTCAGATGAAACAGATGAGCACATTGCCTTACAATGCCCGTTTGCGGAAGTGTTCTGGGAAAAGCTGGGGATTCAGTCAATCACAAATAACGACTGCATATTTGATCTAAGGGCCTCTTTAGTTTCCAAAATTTTTTGCGCAGTACCCATCACATCGAATCTTGCGGCACATGTATGGAGTACTAAATGTAGACGAAAAAAAACTAATTACACAGTTGGGTGAGAAATCGCGAGACAAAACTTTTGAATCTAATTTGTCCATAATTAGACACTAATTGCCAAATACAAACGAAAATGCTACAGTAGCCAAAACCCAAAAATAATTGCATCTAAACGTGCCCTAAGATGTCCGGATCACTTCCCCAAGAAATACTTCACAACTTTTGCAGCACTTTGCTACTGGCATCTGTGGAAACGTCGAAATTCAGTTGTGTTCAGAGAAGAGTTCTACACACACCGACAGGTCTTCCTGCTAATGCACAATGATGCAAAGCTTTGGAGATCTCGATTACCAAAGAATGATAGGGAGGTAGCTGATGTTTGGTGCCAACTCTTGATACCTTTATGTAATCAGTAAATTGTAAAAAACGGAAGGTAAAAACTCCATACTCCCTAATTATAGCTGGTCCTGATCTGTAACCAAATAAAGGGTATGTGAGCGTCTAGAATTCAGAGCGGAAAAATGTAGGGCTTTCAGCTAATCTTTGGCCACATGTGACGAATATTATTGGACTCAGTTTTAACTTATCAGTCCGGCTTATCAACCATGGTATAGTATTTTTCTCTCACAACAAAACAGCATCAGCCGCCTTATCAGCCGTAAAATCCATCAACTGAACAGCTTGAGGACTTCAACGAAGATTATTCACGTTTGAGGAAAATAGGGACTACTACCAATCTGCCACGTATGAACGAGCATCGATAAGATCTTCTTCAACTGATTTTATTTGCCACACACCTGCAATCATGGAAAAAGTACAAGAGATTGTCGGCTGGTATAGTCCTGGCTTGTTTCAGCTTGTTTCAGCTTATTCTCTCTCATAGAATACTATTCAATCATTCAAAACCAACCGAAATCTACTGTTGAGCACACCATCCGAACGCGCAGTGTATGACTTACTCTTGCCTTGGAGGATGCTCTAAGCGACAAATTCAGATATGGAATTGTATGTTTGTTCAAAACATCAAACGGAGCAAAAATCAGGTCCCACACTTCAGAGCAACAGGTAAGGAAAATGGATCAACTGTTACCAAAATGCACAGCACATTGTTTCTTCAGCTGCTCACTTTGCCAGCAGCTTCCATTCAGAGTCGACAACCCATCATGCTTCATCCCACCAACCAAACACCACCTAGTACCATGAACTGGCTCTGTAACAAGTTAGCACAGTAGGCATATAATCTTTCAGTTGCTAAGTTTTTTGAAGGTAACATGATTCAGAATGAGACAAACTAATTATAGTCAATAATGGCAATATACCTGGCAAAAACTAAAATTTTACTTTCTTAGCAAGGACAAGGAAGACAGATGTACAAGCAAAGGAAACTGAGTTCCAAACTTATATGCCATCTCGTCTACTAAACTGGTGCCATCTTGTGAAAGAACTCTATTTTGTATCTGTGTTCAAGCTGTTGTGTATTATGTACAGCAACTTTACATTTCTTTGTACCAGAAGGAGCTACTTCTCTTTTCTGCTATCATGAGTTAAAAATGACTAAGCTAATATCTCAATCCAGTGAATCATAATCTGCAGGGATCAATAATATTTACTTTTTTTCAGATGATTCCTCTATCTGAATCGATTGAGATGCTATCCAAGAAGAAATTGCCTGAGTCAATCTGAAACTCTTTGAACATTGCCATGACCTGGATCATTGTAGGTCTGCGATTGGGCTGATCATCCAAGCACTGGCAAGCAATCGTCAGATACTGGTACAGCTCCGATTCACAGGATTTTGTATCGGTCAATACAGGATCAAATATCTCGTTGCATCGGTCCTCCTTAACCATTTGCTTTGCCCAGTCAATGAGATTACTATCACCAAATTCAGTTGGATTGATTGGTTTTTTCCCTGAGAGAAGCTCCAAAAGAACAACACCGTAGCTGTAGACGTCACCCTTAGTTGTGCAAATAATTGACTGGAAGTACTCAGGAGCCACATAACCAGGTGTTCCTAAGAGCTTGCTCACAGTCAGATGCGAGTCAAGTGCATTCACAAGCCGTGCCATTCCAAAATCCGATACATAGGCATCAAGGTTATCATCAAGAAGCACATTGCTTGACTTCATGTCCCGGTGTATGATGTGTGGGATGCAACTATGGTGGAGGAAGGCTAGTCCTCTTGCCGAACCAATTGCAATCTTTTTCCTTGTTGCCCAATCAAGACTCGCATCAGTTTTGCCCTTTTCATGGAGCATGACATCCAAGCTTCCATTTTTCATATACTCATACACAAGGAGACGCTCATCACCAATTTTGCAGTAGCCTAGCAATGGCACGAGGTTGCGATGTTTGATCTTGCCAATGGTTTCCATCTCTGCAGTGAATTCCCGGTCGCCCTGGCCTGTAAAATGCATCAGCTTCTTGACAGCCACAACACTGCCATCCTTAAGCTGAGCCTTGTAAACCTCACCAAATCCTCCTGTGCCAATAAGAGCTTCCGGACTGAAGCCATCGGTGGCCTCATGCAGGTGGGCATATGTTAGTTTCCTCAATGGATTCTCAAATATCGCCAAATTGATGCTTAGTGGCTCGCGGGAACCAGAAAGCTTCCAGCTTATACTGGTGGATGATGAAAGGCTGTTGCTATACCCAGTTTGAATCTCTTCAGTTTTACTTTCACGGGGCCTCCTGAGCTTGTATACAGTGACAACCAAGGTGGCCATCATGAGCACTGAGAGCGACACTGCAAGGAGCACGAATTCTTCGAGAAATTTCATCCGCCCGTTACGGGAATTTTGGGCAATACCTCCAGTGCTGGCATTGTGCATGCAAGGATCCAAGGGGATGCCACAGAGGCCAGAGTTGTTCTCAAAACGGGATGCTGGGAATGTAATGAGCTGCCCTGACGTGGGTATTTCACCCGTCAGGTTGTTGTTAGAGACATCGAAGTCTGCTAGGAAATTTAAACACCCAAGTCCAGCAGGGATGACACCAGTGAGGTGATTGTGTGAGAGGTCAAGGACACCAATCGCCTTCAACCCTGTGAATGCATCTGGAATTGCACCAGTAAGGTCATTATGTCCCAAGTTAAGGACATCAAGATATGCCATGTTCCCCAGGCTTGCCGGAATTGTACCTGTAAGGCTGTTGTATGAGAGATCAAGAAAGATCATGCTTCCACTTTCATTGAAGGTGTATACTGTCATCCCAGTGTATATCCTCGTGGAGGCACATGAGTGCACAGCCGGGAACTGGGCCAGCCGCTCTGGACGAATGTCAAGGAACTCAAACAGCACTCCGGCACCAGGGCAGATGTTGCCAGCCTCATTCCTTAGGAATGCAAACTGCTTCCCAGAAACAATACCTCCAGTTATAAGTCCTGCCTGTGCTGCTAACTGCGGTGGTATTGCACCAGAGAAGTTATTGCTGTTGAGATCAAGCCAGATGAGGTTGCTACAGTGACCAAACTCTGCTGGCACTGGGCCAGAGAGTGAATTTTTGTGCAGCTGTAGAATGGCAAGCTTCTGGAGGTTTCCAAAGCCGGAGGGGACACTCCCAGTCATATTGTTGCCAGCAAGTGACAACCATATGAGATTCACACATGTGGTAATGGATGGAGGGATTACTCCAGTGAAGTTGTTGTAACTTATGACCAGTGTCTCCAATGTTTTGCTATTGGAGCATAGCATGTTTGGTATCTCACCAGAGAGATTGTTTGCCCACATGACCAGATCAACAAGCTTAGGAAGCAACATTACTTCAGACGGAATCTGACCAACCATAAGGTTGAAGCTGAGGTCCATCGACTCTAGATTACTGCAGCTGCCAAGTGATGGTGGCACAGTTCCGTTGATATAATTGTTCGGTAGGAGCAGCTTTCTGAGTGATGGCAAAGATGAACACAATTCAGGCATGATCTCTCCTTCCAACATATTAGACCCAAGATCAATAACTTCAAGCAACGGGCAGTCAGCTGCTAGTGTTGGCAAAGGATTTGTCCCTGTGATATTGTTGAATGGCAGTCTCAGCACACGCAGAGAAGAGATTTTGCTGATCACTGTAACCACAAAGTCACCAGACAGTTGATTGCTGCTGAGATCAAGAACCTCAAGCAATCTGCATCTTGAGAAGCTTGCTGGCAAACCACCAATCAGATGGTTGCTTGATAGGTCTAGTTCAACCAGCGTTCCGCACAAGAGGCTCAGCTTATCTGGGATTTCCTCAGTGAAGTTGTTCCCAGCAAGTGCAAGTCGCCCCAATGCTTGGAAGCCCCCCAGGAACTTCGGTAGTCGTCCCGACAGAAGCTTGTTCCCAGACATTTCAAGTTCCTTCAGGTGGTGGCAATTGGCAAGACTTGGTGGCAACCCCATGGCACTCAGTCTGTTGTATGAAAAATCGAGCACAGCAAGGTTTGCACAACCACCAAACTCATACCTGGAGATGTCCCCAGAGATGTTATTCCCAGCAATGCTCAAGTATGTCAAATTGGCTGGCGCTGAGGTCAAAAGCCTGCCAGGGAGGGCGCCGGACATGAGGTTCCCTGACAAATCAAGAACAGAAACTTGGCTGCACTGTGGAAACTCAGGGAGCCGTCCGGTTAGCTGGTTGGCCGAGAGGTTGAGGTACTGAATACCATGGCAGGCATTCAGGGAGTAGTTCAGCAAGCCCGTATCTGACAGCTTGTTCCTGGACATGTCAAGCGTCCGCAGCGACGGCGGGAACGGAAAGCCCCCGCCGGTAAGGGTGTTCCTGGACAAGTTCAGCAGCTGCAGGCTGCTGCAGGACGCCAAGAACGCCCGGGGCAGCGTTCCGTTGAAGGCATTCAACGACAGGTCGACGTCCACGAGCACGCACGGCGGCGCTGTCCGCCGAGGCAAGGCCCGGTGGGTGAGGTTGCCGTGGAAGGCGTTGCCGCCGAGGAGGATGCTCTGGAGCGCGGGGAGAGCCAGCAACGTGTCTAGGTGGAGGCGGCCGACGAGGGACATGCCACTGAGGTTGAGCGCGCGGACGCGGCCGTCCGCACACGAGACGCCGGTCCACTCGCACGGCGAGCCGGAGCCAGAGGTAGAGTCAGGCTCGGCCCAGCTCGCGAGCCTGACGGCCGGGTCGGCAGTCACGGAGGCGAGCTTGAACGCGAGCAGTGCCGCTGCCTCGTCGTCTGTCCCGGCAGCAACCGCGCGCGCCAGGTGAAGCAGTAGCAGGAGCATAGAGACCGGCGCCGCCATACGGCGGCGCCCATGGATGCTTCTTCTTGCTGTTCGAAATGATTGAAGAAGAACACAAATTGGCGCTCTGGATGGCTTCACATCGAAGGGGGATTAATCCTGAGCGAGTTCGAGTGCGCCTGGAAGGGAAAGAACCAAGTTTGGTTAAAAATTAATCACATCCCATGGGGATCCCCCGCCCAGAACAACCCGGTGCAAATTTGCAGTTTGTAATCTATAGATGGATCGTTCTTTGGAGAAAAGTGGGGCAACAATACTTGGGAGGAAAGCGTAGGCACCCAGAAACATTTGAACAGTGTGAAATTTTCAGATAGGAAGCACACGTAACTACGTATTAACTGCTAAACTATGAGTAAGTCTGCCCACAATTTGTTCGATAGAAATGCAAATAAGACAAAACCAAATGGATGTTATTTATGTACTTATAAAAGAAAAGAAAGGTGCGACATATACAGAAATCAAACCTTGGTTCGGTTGGAGAGCTGTGGAGATGGAGCCACAAAGGGGGGGGTGGGAGCAAGCAGAAGAACAGTGGTCGCGAACACAGCAGGAGGCTGCTGCCGGCCGGACAAAAACAAAAACTTGACCCCTTTACTGACGGCGATATAGCTCGGAAAATGGAGCACAAGTCCACGAGTAGTCGGGATGATTTGGCAAGATTACTACGAAATTGCCGGGGCACATTTGGACTTTGTTTTTGTTTGCCTGCGCGTGCCGGACTCCTGGTGCGGTCAATCTTGGATCCAACCACTTAGCCTTTTGCTGTGTGCGGCCGCTTTTGTACAATTGCACCGCAAAAGCCAACCTTATTTCGTTTTTATATGAACTAATACAAGGCGTGCAAAAATTTAGATTTATGACACGTACATAGGAGTCTGCTAATCTTAAGCCTGTTCGCTTGCTTATATACGATCATGAATTATAAGTCAAAATAATATTTTTCTCTCACACTAAACCAGCCAGCAAAAAATAATCCACGATCGTTTACGGCCTGCCGAACAGGCTGCTTATCAATCACTTGTTCTTGAGCTAAATATACCATAGGTTATTTAACTTTTACCCATGTGTCTATAGGAACGTCATATTTTCACTTTTGCATTTTACTAGGTGAGAACTCGTGTCTTGCAATAGGAAAAACTTTATTAACCTTACTATGGTTCTTTTGTTTTTATATACAGCATCATATACATGTGGGTGTATTTGTTTAAATAAAAATTGTAGCATTACTCGTAATTTCTTGCTATTATACTACGGGGGTGTTTGGTTTCTCCTCCTAAACTTTAGTCGCTGTCCCATCGGATGTTTAGACACATGTATTGAGTATTAAATATAGACTAATTACGAAACTAATTGCACAACTTGCGACTAATTAGCGAGACGAATCTTTTAAGCCCAATTAGTCTATGATTTGACAATGTAGTGCTACAGTAAACATGTGCTAATGACAGATTAATTAGGCTTAATAAATTCATCTCCTGGAGTACTGACGAATTCTGTAATTTATTTTTTTATATCCGAACACTCCATGCGACACCCTCACGTAACATCTCCTAAATTTTATTGACCGGATCCGAACACCCTCTAATAACGTGCTTGAAAAAAACTAGAACCATCTATTTGAATAAATCTAATGGTTAAAAATTAAGAAGAACCAATATTGGACCGAAACCTATAATATGTGGACCATTGCCCTGTTTGCTTGGCTAATAAATCATGAGTAAAAATACTATTAGCTGATTTATTAGAAGAAAAAAATAATATTCGTTGACCGAAAAAGCACGGCTCATAAACAGAGGAACAGGGTTCATGTACCGGTTCTCAATTTAATCCGAAGGATATAACAGTACATTCATACTCGCAGGAGCTCCTCGTCATCTCCTTTGTGTGCTATCTCCTCTGTTCTTCACCCGCTGCCACGGCCGCCCGACGACACCCCGACACCATGCCCCCACTGGCCAATGCCAGCCCGATTTGGCGCACGCCAGCCATGGCCGAGCTGCCCCCAACTCAAGCCGTCCAATCGTGGACCTCCAGTGCAGGAGCCGGAGCAGCGGCTGCGGGCTGGCGTTGGGCGACGGCTCGGCAGGCCTCCGTATCTTGCTTTCCCTTCTCCCTCACCTCGTAAATTTGCTACCCTGTTCAAACAATGCTAACACTTTGTACTATCGGAGTAAAGCCGTGCAGCCAAAAGAAATCATCTAGAAAGCATACAGTCCCCTGAAAGCAGAGTAACTCTTCCGATTTCAGAATTGACAGCACCTTGCTCAAGAGGGAATCCAAGTAGCAAAGCACATAATATTTGAACAACCATGTAATTAACAATAATACAGAGAGAATGTAATTTGCATCTTTGCTATACGGGTAGCCAAGCATTTTAACACAGGAATTAACCAACATGCATTTCTTTAGTTTTATCGAATGGATGAAGGAAGCCCAGGACGATTGGATTGACGGCAGTGACCCTGACCCTGGGCAGCCAGCCCCTGCTGCTCGCGGTGGTGGGATCCCAGCCGGAGCCAGAGGCAGGCCCTCGCATGCAGGCGACAGCGAACCCCGGGCAGGCGGGCGGCGGCGAGCCCTGGCGGCCAATAGACTGTGTCAAGCGCCCGTGCGTTACAACGGCAGAAAAAAAGTTATCAAACGTCAAACTCCAACAAATATCAGTTAGCATAGCAGATGTAGTAAGGGCCTGTTTGTACCTTTAGTGCTAATAAAAAATAGCACTATGTTTGGATGCTGATTAGAAAGATAAAATGTGAATTAATTTCAAAACTAATTGTGTAAGCGATGATTAAATGACGAGACAAATCTATTAATCTTAATCATGCTATGATAAGCTTATATGGTGCTACAATAAAAATAGGCTAGTTAGGATTAGTAGATTCGTCTTACCAATTAGTCACTGCGGAATTAGTTTTAAGATTAGTTCACATTAAGTTCTTCTGATTAGCATCAAACATAGTGCTAATTTTCAATCGGTGGGATCCAAGTAGTCCCTAAATAAATGTACCTATAATTAAAGAGCCAAATTGGAAACTTCCTGATAAGAATTAGCCTGTTCGTTTAACTTATCAGTCATGATACAGTGTTTTTCTCTTAGAACAAATCAGTGAACCGTACTTTTCAGCCTGATTTTCCAACGGAGTGAACAGTAAAGTTTTAAAAGTCAAATCATTTGTTTGGGCAGTGAGCTTGGTTTTATATTTTAGTGAGGCCCATATGTTCAAATAATCTAATAACAAAATAAAATAAAAAAGAACATTTCGTCCTATTATCTTACCTAGAGCATGTGAGCCTGTCCTTATCCTATCTATAAATGTCCATGCAGTCCGAGGCACGATGGCACGACACAAAGCCCACTTTTTGAGCATGACACGAGCACATCCCGCCCAGTGACGTGCGAGCCCGGGCTAGCCTAGACCGGTACAGCAGGCCGTGCCTAGGCCGTACCCCAGGCCCGTGGGCTAGCACGGCACGGCCCGACTTTTTAGGGTCGGCCCGACAGCAGCCCGCCACCCCCTCTCCCCCACGGCCCAAGGCGACCGCCCAGCTGGTCTCCGCCTCCCCCTTCTTATATAAGCGGCGCCGGCTCCCTCTCCCCTCCCTCACCAAACCCTAAATCATTCGGTCATCTCATTCACCACCCAGGCACCCACCCGCGCCGCTCCGCCCTCTCGAGTCGCTCTCGCTCTTGCCTCGCCGTCTCTGGTGACCTCCCCGACTCTGGTGACCTCGATTCGATCCGCCTGCCGTCGGCGAGCCACTCCCTTCTCCTCCTCCCTAATACCCTCCCTCTCTCCCGTCTCCCTCTCGCTCTCTCCCCTCGATCCCTCTAGATCTTGGTGATTATGTGAGTTCTTGTTACTATCTTCCCTCCGTCACCGCTCGCTGTCCTTGCTAACGGTGTGTCGTCTTCTCTTGGGGGGCATCGTCTTCTTTGGCACCGGGCTCTGGTTGCGCAGGTAAACCCTAACCCTAACCCAAACCCTAACCCTAACCTTCTTCTTCTATCTTGATCTGTCTAACTGTTTCTGATTCTGTCTGTTCCTCTTCCTCCTTCATCTCTTTGCGCAGGTCGGTAGCCGATGCTTTGTCCTCTAGCTGTGGCATAGAGCGAGCAAGGTGGCCACTCACACCGTTGAGGAACGGGGCTGGAGGGGCCATGGCTGAAGATGATGGCGTCCTTTCGCCAGGCCTGGCCCCCAAGAGCGAGAATGACGACAACACCTGTGACGACGCTGCTGCGTTGTTCGGTATCGATCTCGGAGACGACTATGCTCCGATCGATCTGGGTGGCGGCGGTGGTGAAGGGGCGACGGCGACTATGACCACGGTCGGCTCCATTAGCTCTACTCCATCTATTGCTGGTACTGGTACCTCTATTGGTAAGCGTAAATCTGCTGTGTGGGCTAATTTTGATGAGATCTATGAGACTGTAAATGGAGTTAAGATTTGCACTAAAGCTACCTATAAAATGTGTAAGAGTACTTTGTCTGCTAGATGTAGTGCTAGCACTGGTCACTTGAAGAGGCACCAGAAATCTTGTAAGCAAAAACCTGATCAACGTGCTAGGGTTTAGTCTAGGCTTGCTTACAATCCTGATGGTTCTATGCATAACTGGGACTATAAACCTGATGTTGCTAGATCTGAGTTGTGTCGCTTGATTGCTAGGCTTGATCTGCCGTTAGGTATCGGTGAGACAGAGGCCTAGGAGGAGTACATTGTTCATGCTAATAACTCTATGTTTGTTAAGGTATCTAGACAGACCACCACTAGAGATCTTAGTAAGTTGTTTACTGAATGTTGTAATATGTTTAAGAATCATGTGTTGTCTGTTGTTTCCTATGTTGCACTAACTTCAGACATTTGGTCTGGTAATGCTAAGGAAGATTTCATTACTGTTGTTGCTCATTATGTTAGTGCTGATTGGGAGTTACAGAAAAAGGTTATTGGTTTTTAGGTTAATTGAGGTGAAACATACCGATGAAAATATTGCTGAA